TCTCTCTCTCTCTCTCTCTCTCTCTCTCTCTCTCTCTCACACACACACACACACACACACACACACACCAAAAATGAAGTAAATAAACAAACAGCAGGGAGAATATTAGTAACTCAGCTCTCTGGGTTACTAAGTTCAATTCTCTGTGGATTGATAGCAACCCACATGTTCAAATTGCATATACAAGCTTGCTCAATCAGCCAAAAAAATTTTTTTAATGTATTTAGTACAAGGTCCACAGGGTCTCACTACACAGATAGGACTCATAGTGATCCTCCTTTTCAGCCTCCCAAGCACTGGGATTACAGGCAAGTGCCACCACACCCAGTCTCAATCACCATTTCAGCATGCCCTGGGGATGGGGCCAGCACAGCATGTGGTGCCAGGCTGCTTAGTCCACTGAGCTATCTGGCCAGCCCTCAAAAATTTTAAGAGTTGTACGGTTTAAAATGTCAATCAAGTCCAACCAAGTCTTTTCTATAAAGAAACTGAACCCTTAAAAACTTGTCTAACACCTAAAATTAATACAAAAGTCCTGATAAAAATTTGGGCTCGGGTGCTTTCTCCTATTTCACATGGTCTTTAATTGCTCCAGAGGAGAATTCAAGAAAAACTCGAAGAGGTGTTGGCATTTCACTTTCATGTTAAATCAGATGTAGCCTATTTCAAGCTTATCTAAACTACTTAAATAATTAAAATAATAATTACAAAATATGACAATGATGTTGCTTCTCCTCTGGGAAACAGCTGTCGACTACAGTTTCAAGCTGGAAACAGTATAGATGATAAAGTAACTCAAACATACAACCTCAAAGTTCCCGTAGGACCAAGTGCAAGGCTAAATGCCCAGGAAGATGAGGTCCACTTCACAGTGGGATACTGACCAGGTGTACTTGGCACAGTAATCCAGTGGCAATACTACCACAAAGTATAATGCTCTGCAATTTTTTTGTAATTGTATTAATTGCTTGATTTTCATTATCTAATATGAACATAAGAAAAATTTTAATAGCCTCTTAATTCTAGTATGAAAACATAACATTGTATAAAACTGACACTCCCCCTGAGTGGGAGCAACACAGAAGCATATGGCCCATCCCCAAGGGTCAGCTGTGGCCAATCTGCCTAGCACTTCCTGAGAGGAAGTACAGCCCTAGGATTCTAATGTGAAACCATATATAGAAGGGTCTACCAGGTGTTCAGTATCTCACTACAAGATCAGACTCATAGTGATCCACCTGTTTACAGCCTCGCAAGATCTGGGATTATTGGTGTGCACCACCACACCCAGTCTCAATTGCCATCTCAGTGCACCTGGGGGGCTGGCTTGGCAGGCCGGGGTATCAAACCCCCGGCCCCTGCACCTGCTGCAGGTGCTTTAATCCGCTGAGCTATTTGGTCGGCCCAAAAAAATATTGATGAATACCTCAAAGTAAATTTAAAACATTATGAATCAGCATGGTAATGACTAAGCAAAGCTTGCCTCTGGCCCGATAGCTGGACGTCTCATAGCTTGGGACCAGCCAGATACCTTCTGCTGTCTCTTCTCATACGGTCCATGGAGTCCTTCAGGGACCCAGGACAGTAGCAGATAGTCATCAGAAGCCACCATGCTGAAGACTGGCAGAAGACTAATTGCAATTTTGACCTCCCTGCAAAGCTGCTTGCCTATTACTTAATTTGAAGAAAAGGACAGAAAAAAAACAAAAGCATGACACAACTCCTTTTACTCTGTTTTCCTGTAAAGTATCTCCTCTTTCACAGGCTGAGGCTTTGCCTATTGCTTTTGGCTAATTTCTTGAGCATCTCGATTGGCAGTTATCCCCACATTCCAGCCTCTTTGCTGCTCACATGTCCCCTGTAAGATAAACTGCACTAGATGGCACATGTGCTCTAAAATTCATGGGTGACTCCATCTAGGCAGCTTACACTGGCTGTAAAAATTGACTTTAGGTCAGTCTTCAAGTGCCCTGTTTTCTTTAGCTCTTTCAGAACCTGCTTGTTTTGGATTGATTTTCATCATGCTCTGGTGGAAACAAAGGGTTAGACCAGTGATGGTGAACCTGTCCAAGTTTTCAGTGACAACCAACAGTGGGATGCAGCATGTATGCCATAGGCTTGTCGCCCCTCGGCCAAACAGTCAAGTCTACTGTTACTATATTTGATCATCGGCAGAGAAACAGATCTGCTGGCCTGAGCTGTTGGTCTGTTTCATGGTTTCTTCCTAAGGCATCTTGAAGTTGTTATTGATATACACACATACAACTGCAAACACGTAGTCACAAGAGAATTGTGCAAAATCACAAATTGAGACTCTCACTGAAGTTAAGGTACATGTTATTTTGGGCTGCAGCCACACCATGCTATGCCTTTCTGAGCTAACCAGCCCCAAACTGATACTGTGTACAATAAAATGATTTGTTTTATTGTTGCAACCTACAACAGTGGAAGAGCATTCTTGGGTTCCTACACTCAATTCTTTCAATAAAGGTGTCATCTATATATAATATTAATCACTGTTCTTGATTTGTAATATATTTGCAGTAATAACACTCATATTTTGGATCACCATAAATTTTTTTTAGCTCACTCAGAAACCTTTTTTATTATCTTAGCTGTGAACTAAGAAAATGTGAGGTATAGCATTGGCTAAATTACTGCATGTGGATATTCTCAGATTGGTTTGTTCCTACAAATGAAATTACTATTAAGTTATGAACTTGGCCTTTCTGTATTACAGTCTACCTTCCTAAGTTGTGAAGCTTTAAGCAACTTGCGTTTTGTTATCTTGATTTGCTACACAAATGCTGCTTCGGACTTGGAATCTCAGTAATATGAATTGGGATCTGAATTACTTTCCTTTACCTTCTTGTTTAATAAATGAAGCTTTTAACACACTGAAGGTCATGTGTCATTTTTTTCTCTTACTTGACACAAATATCCAAATTATGCCTTTATTAATTAAGACTACTGTCATTTGGGTTGAAAAAATGAGCACAAACATAGTTCCAGGCTTTAAGATGTATTTTTTTAACTTGCCATTTACAGAGGTTGAAGTCACTGGGGTCGAGGGGAAAGTTGCCTGGCTCCTCATGACAGGTCAACTCGCTGCCCCTTGCTGTGTTGTGGCTGCCCTATTCCATCATAAGTGTTACCTGCTCTTTAAATTTCTTCCTTTTGTTCTTAGTTTTCTTTTTTCTTTGTGGCTGGTTCAGCCCACCCTGGGGCCAGGGCTGGCACAGCATGTGGTGCCAGGGATCCAACCACAGGCCCTGCGCTTTGCCTAAGCTTGTATAAGCAGGCACTTTAGACCGCTGAGCTATCTTGCTGGTCCCTTGGTTTTCTTTTAATTACTACTATTTTCTTTTTATAGCAGGAAACTGACAGGGACTAAATTTTCTAGGTTATCTTAAATATCCTGTAAAATCTTACTTAGTTCTTGGTCATACATACACAGTACAACAAGCAAACAACAGGAACAACATTGATCACGTTTTATATAAGCTGTCACTAGTGTCAATTTTGCCCAAGAAGAAACAGATGAGGAGAATGAGGACTCCTGGAAGAGGTCGAATTTTCACAAATATGGCTAATTCACTGCCCTTCTGAAGGCTGTAAAATGATGTCTAGACATTATTATCACCAGTGACAGCAAAAGTATTCAGATAAGTGGCTACAGTCATTTAGGGCACATGGAAACCAAGAGTACGTGAACACAGGCTTTCAGACTGCCGCCAGCCCAGAAGCTGCTGTGTCTGTGCAGAAGCTGAGGACAGAACAAGTTCTGAGGCAGCTGCTGCTTGCCTGGGCCACTCAGCACTCCACGCCTCCGTGCATCAGAGCTCAACACACCGCTGAATGCAGGAAGCTCTCTAGAACAATCAGACAACAGCCATAGTAGCTGCAACCAAATGCTAGTAAAAAAGTGGAGGGCTCAAAAAATGTACCTATCCCGAAATAGTGTAAGCTTATAGTCTTTATTTGCAAAATGGTGATAGCAGAAAGTACTCCCCATATAAGGGATGCTGCTTTTTGCTATAATATTGGTTCATCCATCATGTTAACTATGGAAGTATGAAGTTGGGGTAAACCCTAGCTTTGCCTGGAAACCAGTTTTTAAACCTATTAATTAACGACTGTTTTGGTGAGCTGCAAGCAGGGAGTTCCCTACAGCATTCAATCCATTTGCCCCCAAATAGTCACAGGTGGTGCATGTGGCTGCAGCATTTGCCCAGAGATGGCACACAGATTCCAGTCCTAACTTCACTCCCATCATTTGCCATGAAGTATTGGACTTTTACGACTCTTTTCACATTGTGCTAGTCTTTGAAAACAAAAGACATCATCCTATTTGTAGCATTCTCTTTTTATTAGTGTTATTTCCCTTTACAAAATATAGTTATTCTTGATCACTGAAAATTGCTGGCAGTGAGCTAAATGCTCCTAAATGGGAAATGAGCTTAAAAGGACACTTTTTTTTATGGTAAAGCAAATGTTGACTATCTTGAAAATGTCAGCCCTGAGTGTGATCAGGGGCACAGCACATTTCTGATACACCACGTCCCTGAATAAAGTAAGTGCACTCCTTATGAAATCAACCCAGTAAGAGCTTTGTTAGGTAGGCGATGTGTCTTGAGAGTGCTGCGACCACCAGAAGTGTCAGGTATGGGCCTCGCTGTGCTAATGATCACCTTTCTTCATCAGACACTTTGAACATCTTACCTTTAAAAATTAAACCTACCGGGGCTGGTGAGATGGCTCAGTGGTCTAAAGCACCCACTTAGAACAAGCTAAGCTAAGCAAAGCACAGGGACCATGGTTCAATCCCCCAGCACCACATACCAGCCAGCCCCGCCCCCTGGTGGGCTGAGCTGGCCACACACACACAAAATAAATAAATAAACAAACAAACAAATAAATTAAAAAAAATTAAACCTACCATTCAATTACAGTCTTTACACTCAAATCCTGGCATTGGTTACTAACTTGCAACACTATGGTTGAACATTTTTAACATGTGCTACTTTATATTATGTATTTGTAATTTGATATTGCACTTGGAAATATATATATATATATATATATATATATATACCTGTCAATAGAGCAAAGAAATAAATCCAAATGAATCAAATCCATTGTGGTGACTGGAAGATATTTCTTGCACACACAAAAGCAAAGTCAATAATATGCAATGTATTGATTTATTATAAATGTCCTACTAACCTGTTTTGAAACTGTCACACTACTTCTCAATGAAAATAATATAAAAAATTTAAGAAATAAAAGAAAGGAGACCAGTGAATCCACAAGCAAAGATTTCATACTTACTTGCAACGGCCTAGAGGAATTCTTGAAAAAATTCTCTAAGATGGTATTTGGTATAATTTTTCGAACTGGCTTTTGAATGCCAAATGCTTTTGCTACAGGAGTAGCAATAAACCTACAAAAATATGAAAAGAAAGTCAGTTCAAGATCTAAGAATGAATCCACAATGACAACAGAAGACTTGATCTGAAATTTGAGGTACACAGTAAAAAGTCAATCATTTGTTGGCATTCCATCGAATGTTCCCACAAAACCTAAGGGTTAAGGGACTGTTTTCCCACGAGGCACTAAGGGAAGTGCTGTGGACCTGTAAGAGCTGGGGTTCTGCAGAAGGCCCTTAGGTCACTGGGAAGTGTCTTTTTTCCCCCTGACTCAGGAGGTGAGCAGGCCTCACCATGGGTTTCTGCTGTGACACTCTGTCCTTGCCAGAGGCTGAAAGCAAAGGGCCACTAGATCTAGAGCTGGAGCCAAAATTAACTTTTTTTCTTTATAACTTAATTGTCTTGAGCATTTTATTACAGCAGTGAGGAGCTGACCAGGTCACACTGTCACTGTAGCTAATTATGGCCAGCATCTGCCTCTCAAAAGTGCAAGAGGAGTAACTCTGCAGACCTTATACAGAATTAGTAACTTTAATAATATAGTGAAACACCCACATGATTCTAAAATTCATTTTATGTTAATTCAAATTTACTTATATACAAGTTCTAAGAATTAGAATAAGAATTTTAAGTGCTACTTAGGGTTTCATTTTTAACATTACAAGCTATTAAAATATTACTAGAAAAACTTTTATTTGGGAGTATTATCTTAAAGAAATTATGATGCTTCTATTTTAAGTTATAACATGTAAAAATGGCATAACTCTAATGTAAATATCAAGGAATTGTACTGATGGGTGCTATGGGAGGTATGCAATATTAATACTCTGTCACACTGTTTTAGAAAGCGATTACACTCTTCCCAGTCCTTGGTATTGCTAGTCTTAACAATCTTACAAATGAGCTGTGGCTTTTATTGATTTTCCACTACCAACTTTATAGTTTCCTAACTTTGGTTATTTAGTTTGATCTTACTTTTCTAGTTTAAGGTGGAAAGCTAGATGACCGATTTGCAATCTTTCTTCTTTTACATCTAGGTGTCTGTGCTGTAAATATCCTTCCAAGCACTGCCACCACTGCATCCCATACGTGGCAGTATAATGTTTTCTCTTTCACTCATCTCAAAGCATTTCTTAGTCTACGTCACGATTTTCCTGATTACCTATTTAGAAGTGTGTCACAACTTGCACAGATTTGTTAATTCTTTGGTGTTTTTCCTATTTCCAATTTCATTTCATTGTGGCCAGGAGGCATACTTCTCATGATTTGAGTCCTATTAGACTAAAGGCTTATTTCCAGGTCTAACATATAACTTATGGAGAAAGCTCTTCATGCACATCAGATGGAGGTGCATTTTGCTGTTATAAGAGGGTTCTATAGGTGTTTGCTAGGTCTACTTAACATAGTGTTATTTGAATCTATTTTCTTATTGATCTTCTGCATAGTTATTTTATACATTATTGAAAATGGAGTATTGAAGTCCACAACTGGTCACATCTATTTACCTGCAAAAGCCTCAAGTTTATTTTTTTAATAGCTGAGTAATACTCCATTGTATTAAAATAACACGTTTTTATCCATTCCTCAGTTGATGGACATTTGAGTTGTTTCCAAGATTTAGCTATGACAAATTGTGCTGCTGTAACTTGGGTGTACATATATTTCCATGGTATGATGTTTCTAGTTTTTCTAGGAAAGAGACCAACATACTCAGAAGTGAAATAAATCAGATCTGCATGTGTAAACATTGTATTGTCTCCCTAGGTAAGAAACTGAAAAAGTAAAGAAGATCCAAAAGGTGTAACAGGGCCAGGGAGATGGCTCAGTAGAATAAGTGCTTGCCTGGCAAGAGCAAGGGCCTGAGTTCAATCCCCGGTTCTGGAAAAA